GACGGGCGACGATACGCATTAATAGAAGTACTATCATCATCTGCTTCTTTCATTGGCCCTGGCACCGGAGTTTCTCCATTCGTGAAACAATTGTTGAGATAAGCTGCTTTCCACTGAACATACTTCCAATTTTGTGCCGCTTCCACGCTCAATTCTCCAAACAGCGTCAAAACTTCATACAATATCTGAGCGGTATAAAAACTCTGTAGTACATTCTTGAAAAAATTTGCAGCCCTATCGTTCTTATCGGCATATAAAAAGAGCTTCAGGGCCCAATTTTCTAAATGCAATTGAGCGGTCACATCGTTATAATAATAGCTTCGTTGTCATGCAGTTCTTTCTTCGTTGCTTCCAACCAGTCCATCAACTTTAGTAGAAAATTAATCTCCGCCGATGTCTTGGTGGACAATTTCAATTCAGTTTAAAGAGCATACAGGCGACCTGTTTTTTGTACGTAAATTTTAATTAACTCTTTGTTTCTCTTAGAATACATGTTTTTTTCACCGTGTCATTACCGAGATATTTCTACAATCTTTAGAATCATGATTTAGAATGTATATTACTAGATTTTTCGCCCGCGCCTCGCGCGGGCTCAAAATATATTCCCCTCTCCCCAAACTCACTCATGAATTAGGAGCACCAATAGAACTCCATAAAACCCAATTTTCAATCCCATAGTAACCATTTCCATAAAATTAGTAATCTTTTGGTACCAATTTCATCAAAATCATTAACAAAAAATGAACGCGTGGTCGCCACGCGCGTTAGAAGTGAAACTTCTAAAGGCAAGGCTTTGCCATAACTTTTCTGAAATTAATACAAAAACAATGCAACGGAATTAGTCACTCCAAGCCGCCCGCAACTCGAAAATATAGGCCGGTATTCATAGTTATTTAAGACCGTCTTAAGTTCAATCTTAAGATGTCATGAACCAATCACAGAGCCGTGTTAGCGTCTTAAGACATTACTTAAGACGATCTTGAAGACTATGAATACCGGACATAGTGTTACACGCAGTTCTCACTATATCCGACTCGCCAATGCCGTACGCCTGATCGAATTTTCGTGACGCGTTTTCGAGTCGGAAAATCGAATTTACTTACCGATCCAAAAGGAGTTTCACTTTGTACGCCTGTTGGTAGAATTTTCGTGACACTATTTCGTGACGTTTTTTCGTATCGCACAATCGAACTTACTACCGTACCGAAGAAGTTTAATTTCGTACGCCTATTGGTCGAATTTTCGTTACACTTTTCGTGTCGCATAATCGAACTTACTACCGTGCCAGAAGAAGAACCGTCTCGCCAACGCCGTACGCCTATTGGTCAAATTTTTGTTACACTTTTCGTGTCGCACAATCGAACTTACCACCGTACCAAAGAAGTTTTATTTCGTACGTTTATTGGTCGAATTTTCGTTACACTTTCCGTGTCGCACAATCGAACTTATTACCGTACCAAAGAAGTTTAATTTGTACGCCTATTGGTCGAATTTTCGTTACACTTTTCGTGTCGCATAATCGAACTTACTACCGTGCCAGAAGAAGAACCGTCTCGCCAACGCCGTACGCCTATTGGTCAAGTTTTCGTTACACTTTTCGTGTCGCACAATCGAACTTACTATCGTACCAAAGAAGTTTCACTTCCGTTACACTTTTTCGTGTCGCGAATCGAACTCACTACCGTGCCTAAAGAAGTTTCACTTTAAAAATTAAAAAAATTTTGGCACCAGTTTCAAGAAAATCGATCCATTAATAAAAAATTATCCATTATCCTGTCTGACGCGAACTACTTGTTATTTTCCGAAAAATTGAAAAATTTCGTAACCGGTTTCCAAAAACCGGTCTTAATCGCTCGCGACAGTCACGAATTGAAGTAACTGGTTAATTCCCAAAAACTTTAAAAAATTTTTGATATCGGCTTTCAAAAAGATTGGTAACATAAAATTATACACTTTATAGCACTCCCCGGAAAATTCTACCTCTGTTTCATATATAACTTTTTGAAATTTGGTCAATTATTTCCCGAAAAATTAGAAAAACCGGTTTCCAGAAAATCGGTAACAAATCCTACATACAACATATTTCATTTAAAACTAATCGACCTATGAACGATTTAATTTCCGAAAATTATTAAAAAAAAGATTTATTTTTTTTTGCCTTTGCAGCTTTCTCCATTTCATAATTTAGTGCTGCTCTTAGCAATAGATCATCCTGACCGTCTTCTAATGTACATTCTTTAAAAAATCACGTAGATTTTTTTAAACAAAAATCGGAAACGTTTCAAGAAAATCAGTACATTAATGAAAAATTAAACTCGCGGTTTCAAAAAAATCAGCATATACATTTCTTTGAGATTCGTTCAATTATTTCCAGAAAAATTGGAAAAATTTTAGAACCGGTTTCCAAAAAGATCGGTAACGAAAAATTATATACACTTTATGGCAATTCCCGGGAAATATTCTACCCCTACTTTATATACAATTCTTTACAATTCGGTCAATTAATTCCCGAAAAGTCAGAAAAATTTTGTAACCGGTTTCCAAAAAGATCGGTAACGAAAAATTGTACACTTTATGGCACTCTCTGGGACATATATTCTACTCTTACTTCATATACAATTCTTTGAGATTTGGTCAATTAATTCTCGTTAAATTTGAAAAAATTTTGGAACCGGTTTCCAAAAAGATCGGTAACAAAAAAAAGCCGCGACATTTTCATCCCCGGAAAATTCTACCCCTATTTCATATACTTTTGGTAAAAATTTGGTCCACTAACGAATGAGTAGTTCGCGTACAGACAAACAGACGTGACTTATATAATATATAGATATGTACTTACAATAATAACTGACAACGTTATCTCGCTGGTCGTGCTTCGACGCGACTGTTAAATATTTCTGTATAGATTTCAGAGGATTCGGAACTTGCGGCAAATCGGGTCCTGCCAGTGTCATTGGAATAAGAAATATCAAAGATACACCGTTAAGAAATAATTTTATCTTTTCTCGATAGACCGCTTCTCGGATATATCCACACTAATATATCTCTATGCACAAAGAATGATAACATCTTAACAACACTGAACGGCAATACGATTTCTTATCGTCAAAATAATCAATCTGTACGTCAATTGCGGTACTACACTTGTCCTTCGAAATACATTGCAGTATTTTCATACATATCAACACGGCACAGTTGTATTTTATTTTTTTATTACATCACTATATCTATCACGCGGCGACGGTCATAAACGTCTGTCATTATTTCTAGGTTATAATAGATAGATGTTTCCATTTACATCAAAACTCAGATAATTCTCACTTGTGACGTCATTCTGTCTTTATCATTCATTAATGCCAAAAAGGATAGAACAACGTCACAAATGAGAATTATCTGAGTTTTGATGTAAATGGAAAGCACCTAATATAACTGACTGACAGCGCGCTGTCCGCGCGAACGCACTGAGCCGACTGAGCGACGAACGCACACGTACGCGTATATGCTGTCTCTTTTCAATGTAGCAACACTGTCATGGAGGGGACCCGGAGGAACGCTCGACATGTTCTCAAATGCCATCTATCGAAGAAAAAAGCAACCGTACGACGACGACGACGTATCTTAATTGTAATTTTACCATTTCAGACTTTGGATCGTAATATCTCCGCTCGTAGAGCACGTAGCGGAATATTATAAGAGAAACCCCCCCAAATCGACCCAAGCTATCGATCAAGCCTACTTGGAACTTGATCCGTTCACTCGTTATTGAGATCTCAAAATCTCGGGTACTCGCAACTCGTGCGTTCGCGTAAAAGAGTCACGGTCGGTCTCGCTCCGCGTGTACTTGGCGCGAGACACTGCCGTGTCTCTTGATGGCCATTTTCGGATTCTACGACTCAAAATACGTAAGAATATGTAGAATTTATTCGTTTCTCTAACAGTTCCCAAAACTTTAATTTAGAATACCCTCCTTTGGTCAATATGACGTTAAAATGACGTAATTTTGATTGCGATGTGTTTCTTGGGTACTTTTGGATTAAATAATGTTAATATATGTAACTTTATTTTAGTTAATAGTATCTTTATTTTTGAAAACTGATAATAATTAAATAAATACAAAATATAAAATGTAAGTGTTTTATAACAAAATTTGTTTCTTAATATTATAATTTTGATTTTTACAATCCTTTACGTCGTGTACGTTATTAAAATAACGTCGCTAATTAAACGTCACTAAAACGTTATTAAAACGTTACTTAAAGGCCAAAAAGATCATAAAGTCACATCTTTTTAACGCTTTGAAATGTCGTTATCAGTCTAGTGACAAAGTCTGTCATTTTTCCGTAATTTTCACGTCATTTTTAGTCATCTACATTTGTCATTTTTTTCATCTTATGACCAAATTTTGACGTTATTTTGACGTATGCTTGCTAGTTAAGAAAGAAATAGTCAATACATAGATGTATAGAATATTTAATAAAAAATTTCAAAATTTTAAAAAAATATTTCTTTATTTTTTTATGTGTGTATTATTTTTAACATTTTAACCTCTTTTTAAATTTTGAACTTTTTTTCTTATATTTTGTATATACACATAATTTCTTATCTTTTCGAAATAAGGCGGCACGACTCACTTGCACTTTATTTCTGCATAAACTCAATAACAGTCTAAGTATTCTATATAGATATGCCTATGATCTTGGAGTTCGTATTTAATAACTTGATATATTACAAATTTTTAAAAAATTTAAAACTTTATTTTGACATAGAATATATTTAACCATTTTAGATTTAATATAATCTTATAATAATAATATATGTATATATAACCTTAATATTATATTTATGTTTATGTGTATATGAAAAACTCTTATATTTTAATAAATAGTTGAAAACTATTTGGCAGATATTTTTGAATGGTTTAAATTGCAATTTTCTTGTAATGCAACCCAATTTAAACATAACTCACTCTTATTAATTTCAATCTTTGTAACAAAATTCTTTTTAAGGAGAAAATATTTTAACAATATAGAATACTTAATTTCAAATAACATAAAAATTTCCAACACATTATGTGATAAACTACATGAAAATTTTTTACAATTTTACCTTGATTTTTTCAAAATTGTATAACTAATAATAAAATAATGTAGCATGTGAACGGAAATTATATTCAACATAATAACGGACATGCTCTTTCTCTTATTGTTAGTTTGAAAAAAAGTTTTTTTTTTGTTGAATTATGTTATCTGTCCAATTTGTTTTCCGTTACGTACACGGGGAGAGATGGATTATCATAATATCCATAGATTTGCTGTGAGGACGGCGAAAGTGAGCTCACGGCATGCATCATGTGTATCGGTTGCACATAGGGCATCATTTGCACGGGAGTGGCTGATGGGTTTGAATTGTTACCGCCACGTTCTAGAGTTGAGCCATTGTACGAGCTTACATAAAGATCGTGAGGATTGATCTTGCCCGAGTAAGCACTCGCTGGCCGAATCATCGATGCTTCGTGAATGCTAGACGCTGCCATCGCTGCAATTCTTGCTTCCTGCATTTGGTTACTCCAGCGTAATCGACAGATGCAGATCGTAATGATAATGATCGCGATAAATGCCACTACACTGCCGACGATGCCGATAATCAGGGTGTCATCAGTATTTGAAATGTTGCTGAGTGTAGATGTACCTGTTATCAATCAATACATGTTGTAAACATATTAAAAAATATGAATCTGCTTAAGGGGGTATTCAAGTAAACAAAATCGGTTTAAAAAGCTGATTTTTTTAAATATTATTTTTTTAATCATGTTAAAATATGTAAAACATGTATACAAAGCGGTTTAGCGAAATTTTAAACATTAATAAAATTATAGAAATTTGAAAAGGTTAGTGTCTTGAGTCGAATATAGGTATATAGATTATAGTCAATATATAGTCAATATAGATAGATATAATCAACATAGATTGATGATGCTCCATGCCGCTATAAACTAATTTTTCATCATAAGAGATCTTGAGAATTTTATTAGAAGATTGTTTGGGATTCTCTTTATTTATTTCTCTCATCAATATACTATAAGTTTAAATACATTAATTTGGATCTTCGTTCCCAAAACATCTGCATTGGGAAAAAGACAATAGAAATTGCAATGTATGTGGCAGTTTGTATATTTAATGAAAAATACAGACTAATATTATTGTGTGTGAAGATAATGAAAGTGATGAGAATAAAACAAAGTGGATATAAAACAAAAGTTTTCAGCAGACAGAGACAGGAAATAAATTAACAGTCCTGAAAGACGAAAAACGTGTAAAAACATGTAAATAAATAAGTAAGACGTATCCAATAAATTATCAAAAATTGCTTCGTAGACCCCTGCACTATGTGATACCCGAGATCTCACTTCAGCTGATCTACGCAGCGAAGAATTATCATAATCAGGTCTCTCACAGGCTCGTCTCTTATACTAGCACGTAATGATTTTTTATTACGAGAAAGTACTGGCGCGTGATAGCCGCGTCGCGGAAGCGCGTGTTACTAGTGCTCGTGGTCGCCGAGTGCTCTCGCGAAATCGCGGTCTACGTCTTCGCACTAGTCGCGAGTTATCAATTGTTGTGGTGAACAGTTTACGGTGACAATAGTCTGACTGTCATATTCAATATTAAATTATTAAATTATTAAATTTTATATTTTATTATTAAATTTTCAACAATAAAAATTAATGCAATATTAAACATTATACGTTATATATACGTTTTGACACTAAGATTTATTATTTATCTTTATATTAAAAACTTTGATAATTATATTTATATAAAGTTAATGTTTTATTAGAAATTAAATTGTGTGAATTAAAATAAAATATAAAATATTATAAATGTTTAAATATATTCCCAAAAATTGTCTAAAAATTAATTATTTGAAATTATTTAGTAATTTGAAATTGATAATAAAATTTAAATATTATTTTTTTAGAAACATTATATGTACAAGTCTATTATACATCTATAACAGATGTATAATGGACGTTTGTAGTGGATTTGTAGGAGACATCTATTATGGAAATAGTATGGATCTATATTAGAGTTCTATCTGACTTCCACCGTAGAGATAGACAGTTGCATGGAGCTATAGAGGTTGTATGGACGTCGTTTATGTTTTTTAATACTCAAAAAACTGCTATATTTTTCAAACTTTTTTGTTAATAATTTTTTAATAAAGAACGTGCGACGACTAAAACCTTCTGAAGATTACTCAGGAGGGTGACCTCTATAATATATGTCAAGGTCATAGGAGCTGGGTTTTCTTTTGCCAATATTTACCGAAATGTGCAAAGATGTTATATACATTTCAATGCATAATTAAGAATGATGTGACTTACCTGTATGATCATTATTATAGTGGTTATTTCGATTGTTTTGTACTGTTGGTGCAACGGTCCAGATGATCTCTGGTTCTAGAGTTGTTGATTTTGTCAACGGTGTGATTTCTGTCGTTTGTAATTTTGTCAACGTTGTACGATTGCACAAGAAATACTCCTCTGTGAGATTACTCAGCAGTGTACCCATTAAATAGTCCGGTTTGGCACAGATAACAGTAGGCGCTTTATTATCCAATAATTTAAGCCAGTTCCACAGATGTCTCACTTCACAACTGCAGTTGATCGGGTTGTTATCCAATCCACTAATTCTTACGGAAGCTCTACGTTCATCCAAAGCATTTAATAACTGAGGAGGTAGATTGGTAAACTTGCTACCAGAGACATTCAGTTCAATTTTAGTAGAACGCGGAACTGGAAAAAAGAGAGCTGTTGGTATCGAATCCACGGAAGTATCCTTCAAACTCAGTAGCAATCTTGGTCCCCGCACACCGACCAGTGAACTTGAAAGGATGTTGCGTAGTCTTTCCCCTCGTAATGTCAGATCTCGTAAATAAGGATGAATTCGCACTGATAGCTGCTCGTTGCCCACCGACGAATCCTTTATTTCGATATCCAATATCTCTAGATTTGTCATATGCTTTAAAATACCCTGTACGTCAAAATATCCCAATTTCGGATAGTTATAGGCATGTAGAAGTCGCAATTTTGTCAGCGATCTAAATGCATTTTTTTCAATTCTAGTACAATTCAGCAAATTCGCCATTTTTAAGGAGTGTAACATAGCTAATCCGTCGAAGTTGCTCTCGTTGATGTTCTTCAATTCGTTATTGGAAATGTCTAGACTCTGAAGTACTGGCAGATTTTTGAAGGTTCTGATCAGATTCGTGAAATCTGTCAGACGGTTTTTCGACACATCTAGACTTTCTAACATCGTAGTACGCTCGAACATAACCGGGTTAATATCTGTGATCGTATTGCCCGAAAGATTTAAATGCCTGAGAAATGGTGTCTCTAGTCTGGGAATAGTCTTAATACTTGTATTAGCAAGATTCAGCGAACGCAGAACTTTTGCTTCGCCTAGAATGCCGCGTATTGCGTTCTCACTCAAAGGATTTTCAGAAAGATCAAGCTCCTTCACATTATTGATAATATCTTGTGTGAACACTTCCAGTACTCGATTTTGAGCTAATTTTAGGCTGAATAACGATACAAATTGCCGTTGCAATGCGCGGATTGGTATCTCATTAAAACGATTACCAGATAAATCGATTCTTTCCACGGCGTGAACTCTCGACGAGTCGAAAATGGTCTCGGGTAACAATGCAAGTCGATTGTTGCGTAAATCCAGAGATTCTAATCGAAGTAGACCTTCCATTGTGCGTTCGTTCAGCGTTTCGAGAACATTGCCAGATAAATCTAGCAATTGGAGCTGTGTGGAATTATAGAAAGCCAATTCGTCCACCTGTAATAATTTTATGTTCAACAATATGTAAATAGTTACATTTCTTATTAATAATATATATTTTGTTACAGTTAAACTTTCATATTTTTAGCACATCCGTATTCTTGATGCAGTATTTTTAATTATATTTTTAATGACTTTTCTTACGTCACTTGTTTAATATTTTATGTTTATCACTGTATTACTTTATATTATCTTACTTTGTTGAGTAGAATAAAATTATCATTATAATCAAAACGTTTTTACATTTTGTGCATCTATCATTGGAAAAATGGAAAGGATAGAGTGCTAAGAATAAGGAAATTTGACTTTTATAGATTTTTTCTTTTTTATTCTACTTCTTCCAATTGCTTTTATCATATTTTCTTTTTTTGCTTCCTCATAGAGGAAGCTTTGTGATAGTAAAAAAAATTTTTTCGAGATTTTAAAGGAAATAGATTTAGAATGTTCTAAAATGTCGAGAAATCATAGTAGAAAATGTCCGGAAGTATGTATGTATGTGTGTGTGTGTGTGTACGAATTTTTTGTACACGCATCTACTTCTACAATTTTTTAGATACCGGGTTGAAGTTTTGCACACAAATAGAGTATCATAAAAAGTATGTTCTCCACTAATTTTATTAAAATCCGTCGACCGGTATGGATTTTAAGGGGATTTTCATTTTTCAGAAAAGCGTGTTTTATACGCTATAGCTTTCTCAATATTTGAGATATCGATCTATTTCTAATTTTATTATATTTTTCAGTTTTTTCTACCACTATTTCATATATAATTCTTTAAAATTTAATTAATCAGTTCTTGAGTTATAGAAATTTCAGTAAACTTGGCTGTTTTTTTTAACAGAAATTGGTAACTTCTTTATTATTAACAATTTTTATTAATTCAATTATATTCTTCAGTCTTTTCTACCCCTATTTCATATATAATTCGTTAAGATTAGTTCTGGATTTGGTTGATTAGTTACCAATTTCTGTTAAAAAAAAAAAAAAAAAAAACAGCCAAGTTTACTGCAATTTCTATAGGACTTGGTTAGAGGAGCGTGTGTGTTGTGCATGCGTGTGAGAGTTGCGGATAAATTAGACGAGAGTTTAGAGAGAAATAGGAGGTGAGGTAGGCGCTAAACCGATAGAAAGGTAGGAAGAATAACTTAAATTTAGGATAGAATAATAGATGTAGTAAGGAAATATTAAATAATGAAGAAAAAGAGCGTTAAATGTTTTAGAGAAAGGGAGAGGTTAGGTGAGAGAAAGCGGGAAAATAACGTGGTGCGTTCCAAAAGGGAGCAAGATTTGCGTTACGCATAGAGTAGATAGCGACATAGACAGAACAGTCTATAGGCATATAGGCAGCGGTTAAGGAGATTGAATAGAAAGAGAGCGTGAACGAGTGACGTACAGGATGGAGGGAAGAGGCAGGCGAGAATGAGAACCTTCTCATTCAAAAGGAATTTTGTCACACCAAAAGAAGAAAAAAGAGGAAAAGGAAGACTTACAAAGGAGGAGTTAAGAATGAGAGAAAGATCGAGCTCGACCAGCATACTGGATTATGTGAGAAGTGAAAACAGTATGGCATGTGAGATAGCGAAAGCTAAGAGGAAAAGAGAGGAAAAAGAACAACTTGCGGAGGAAATTTTCAAGAGAGGTAAAAAGACCGTGAGAACGCCACCAGGAATAAACAAATCGAAGGAAGGAGTCGGTGCTGCAGGTAAGAAGAGAGAAGAGGAAGGAGAGTTGTCAGCAACAAAGAAAAATGAAGAGGATGATTTGTTGTTAGCAAGAGAGAAATTAGAGACGAAATGAGAGAGAGGATGAGCGTCTTAGAAGAAGGATGGAGAAAAAAAGAAGAATGGATAGAGGAAAGGATGGATAAGATAGAGGAGAGAATATCAAAGATCGAACGAAGGAGTGAAAACATAACGGAAGAGGCGACCGGCGGCAAAATGGAGGAGATTGTGGGAAAGGTGGCGGAGATGGTTATGAAGAAAGAAAGAAATATGAAGAAAAGGAAGGAAAAGAAAAATAATCTAGTGATCAGAGGATTACATAAAGAGGAAAACAAAAGCTCAATAGACACAGCGGAGATGTTTCTTGAGAGAGAGTTTGGTGCAAAAGCGGGAGTAAAGAAGATGCGGTCAACAGGCAAAGAAGGAAGAGAGATAGTAATAGTTGAAATGGACTGCTGGAAATCGAAGGATGATAATATCACGAAGAAGAAGAAGAAGCTGGGAAGTAAGAAAATTTTCATTGATCACGACCTTTGAGGACAGAGAAATGCAAAGACGGATAAAAGAACGGACATGGAAAGAGAAAACAGAAGGAAAATGGGTGAAAATAGGTTATAGGAACCTAGAGGTACAAGGTAGGAAGTATGTATGGAGCGAGGAAAAAAATAAGCTAATAAAAAAGAAAAATTTATAAAGGGAACCCAAGCATTGGAGGCGTGTAGAGATGAGGTGGTGGCGGACGTAGATAACGTGGATAATGCAAGTAATGAAGAAGAGGGAGAAAGGGAGAGAGATAACCGCCGTAAGGGAAAAGGAAAGATTAAAATACTCTTCTAGAATGTAGCAGGATTAGTAAACAAATTTAGAGATTTCTGGAGATATATTAGGGATTTCGATTTTGTAAGTTTAAGCGAAACATGGGTAGACGCAGAAAAATAGAATAATATTAAAAGTTTATTGCCGAACATACACGAATGGGTGTGCAGTCATGCGAAAAAAATAAAAAAGAAAGGCAGAGCGATAGGAGGTTTTGTATTGGGAAGAAGAAAAAAGTTGAGGGAAATTAGGATCAACAATGATTAAAAATGAGGAAGAAGGTCTAATACTGTCAAAAATTTTGGCGGACGGTGAAAGAATTAACATTATTTCGGTCTATAATAAGGATAATTGGAGTAGGGTAGAGGAGACAATAGAGAGATGGTTAGGAAAGAAGGATAGAGAGCATATTATAATAGGAGGGGATTTTAATATAAAAACAGGGGAATTGGGAGGAGCAGAAGAAAAGGAAGGTAACATAGAGAGGAGAAGTAAAGACAAAATAATAGGGACAGGGGGTAAGAACTTAATAGATTTCATACAAAGCAAGGGATGGTACTTACTAAACGGCACAACGAACGGCGACTGAAACGGCGAATATACTTTTGTAGGAGCGAGAGGAAATACAGTGATAGACTATATGATATTGTAGTTTGCGAGAGAATGTATCATAGAAAAGAGGTAGATGCGAGGGTGGACTCAAACCACATGCCTGTCTGTGCAAAAATTGAGGATAAAGAAAGAAGAGCGGAAGAAAAAGAGGCGACTAACGCAAACGGCGTAGAGTCAACAGAAGGAAGATGGAGAATCCGTTGGGATAAGGAGGCAATAAGGAGATACAAGGAGAAAACAAACAAGAATATATTTGTGGAGACACAGCAAGAAGAAACTATAGAAGAAAAATGGACAAGTCCTCTTCTAAAAAGGGCATGTCGTAGGTATTATTGTCACTTTTTCGCGATGCCGATTGGTTCTCTTGCTGCGCTTACTTCATTTGCAGCTGTCATTGTATATTTTGACAGTTGTGTGTATCAAGGGTTAATAGTGTAATAGTAATAGCATAATGTTAAAGCTAAATAGCGCGCGTCTGTAGTGTCTAGTCTTAAAAAGATGGTACATGAGGCTATGATAAAGAAAAGGGTAAATACGACGAGAAGAGAGATGGGCCACAAAGATTGGTGGAACAAGGAATGTACGAGGAAGAAAAGGAGTGTAAAAAGACTTTATAAAAAATAAAGAGTGGGAAAACTAGATAGAGGAAAATATCTGGAAGAAAGAAGAAACCTGAAGACCATACTCGAACAGAAGAGGAAGGAGAAAAAGGTAATGGAAGAAGAAGAACTAAAGAATATACGGAGGTCCTCAGATGCCGTCTGGAGAGGGAGGTGGATCTGAAGGATCTGCTTCCAGAGAGCCAGGCGGGTTTCAGAGGTGGGAGGGCAACGGTGGATAACATCTTTGTCTTGGATCACTTGGTCCAAAGAAAAGATAAGGAGGGAAAAAAAGACAAATTGTATTGCCTTATTCGTAGACCTAAAAGCGGCATTTGACAAGGTGGAAAGAGAGCAATCATAGAAGATCTTGAGGGAGAAGGAAATAGATAAAGAACTTATAAGGAGAATAGAAGCAATGTATGATGTGACTGAAGTTGCAATAAGAACAAAAGAGAGCCTGACGGAGAAATTCAAGATAACAAAAGGAGTCATACAAGGTTGTGTAATGATTCCACTCCTATTTAATTTGTATATAGCGGACATTAAAAAAGAGCTAGAGGAAAGAAAGATAGGAGGCGTAAAGTTAGGAAACAATAAAGTATGGTCGCTAGAATATGCGGATGATATGGTGTTTGTAGCAAAGAATAGAACAGCAATGTTAGACATGATGGACACAATAAAGAGGTTTCTAAAACGGAGGAAAATGATATTATGTACCAATAAAACAAAGATGTTAGTGTTTAACAAAGAAAGTAGGGAGAAGAAAGAGAATTGGAAATGGGGAGGAAAGGAGATAGAAGAGGTTAGAACTTTTAAATATTTAGGTTTCGTGTTTAATAATAGAGGGAATTGCAAAGATCATATTAAGGAATTAGCTAGGATTGCGGTAAATAGAACGTGGGGTCTAAGAGAACGGATTTGTAAAGATGATTTCATAAGGAGAGGGAGTTTGTTTAATTACTTAGTCCGGAGTGTGATGTCGTATGGGGTGGAAAATTAGGGATAGAAAGAAAAAAAGGACTTGGAAAAAATTATGCCAGATTACGCAAGATAGGTTTTCGATTTAAAGTTCTGTACCCCAAGATACCTAATCAACGGAACTGGGGTTGAGAAAGCTTAGGATAGGATGGAGAGGAAGGGCAATGGGATATGAGAAAAAGATTAGAGAAATGGATGAGAGCAGATGGGTCAAGAAATGTTGGATAGAGAAAGAGAAAAACAAATAGAAGACAGATATGGTAGAAAGAGAGAAAAGTACTATAATAAAAACGGGTGGGGGGTGGAAGCAGTTGAGTTGTTAAGGAGAGAAGGGAGGAAATTTGAGGAAGAGATTAAATTAAGAGACTGGGAGATACAGAGGCAAGTGGAAGAGAATAATATAATAGAGTCGAAGTATAATAGGAAGTATAAAGAGTTAGAGAGAGACGGAATATCTAAGGATGACAAACATAGATGAACAGATCGAAGAGGATAGTATCAGAGCCCTGATAAATCTGAGATGTGGTAACATGGAATCGGAGAATATGTATTGAGGTGGGGGGAAGAGAAAAAAATTTGTCTGTTCTGCAAGGAAGGAAGGGATAATTTGAAGCACTATGTAGAGGAGCGCAGCAGTATAAAGAACCAGTTTATAGAACTAGGGAGGGATAACAGGAAAAGAATAGATAGACTATGGAACGATAAACTAGATACAACCAAAGAAAAAATATTAAGGAAATTATATAGGGATAGGAAAAAGATAGAAGTGGAGATGAGAAAAGATAGGTGAGAGCAGTAGTGATAAATAATGGCGAGCTTTAGCGTGAGGAATAATCCCGTCAAAATTGTTGTGATTGACGGGCGATGTGCGGATGGATGATTGTGTTAAGGAACCTATTGTAAACCAAGTCTACTTCTTGGCAGCAGCCGAAGTTAAATAAATATTATTACTGAAATTTCTATAAGAACTGATTAATTAAATTTTAAAGAATTATATATGAAATAAGGGTAGAAAAAATTGAAAAATATAATAGAATTAATAAAAATTGCTAATAATAAAGAGGTTACCGATTTCTGTTTAAAAAAATCTACGTGATTGTTCTAATTTCCGCAAATTTTAAGATATCAAGCAAAATACAACACCAATTTATCTTTAATGATACTCTATTCATAAAAAAAGTGTGCAAGTAGAAACTTGCACATTGGTTTCTTATAGTTTTTAAGTGTGCAAGTAGAAACCTGTACATTGCTTCCTCTATGAGGAAGCCAAATTAATAAATATAATTATGCATAAAAAAACAGGCTTCCTCATAGAGGAAGCAATGTACAGGTTTCTACTTGCACATTTTTTAAAATTATTTTTATTATCTATCATAATCTTTTACATACCGATTCAATTTTATTATCAGAAAGATCCAAATCACGCAATCTTCCCATTTGTGAGAAGGCAAATTCGTTCACGTGGAGCAGCATATTCCTGGATAGGTCTAACCATTCCAAAAACTGTAGTGACTTGACGTAATCACTGGAAAATTGAACGAACCTATTGCCTGAAAGATTGAGTTGTCTGAGCCTCGGATGAATTGCAAAAGCTGTCTGCGATAACTGGTTGATGCGATTGTCCGATAAATCAAGGATTTCCAAGCCAGTGCCTGTGTTGAAATGTTCGCCGATAAACGACGTAAGCCTATTATCTCGCAAATTTAACGAATAAAGATTTATGAGACCAACAAAGGCATTATTGTCGATATGTTCAATGGCATTGTACGAGAGATCGATTGTCGTGAGATTATAGAGATACTGGAAAGTGCCTTCGTCAATTTCTTGTAGCTGATTGCTAGCTAGAGAAATCCTTTCTAGGGATTCAAGATTCAACAGTAACACAGATGGTAAAATTTTGAGCTCTGTGTAAGATATGTCAAGGTTGATCAAAGACGAAGGAAAAATTGGAGGAAAACCGCCATACAAGGGATTATTACTGAGATTTAAATACCGTAGTTTATGCAAATACTTGAAAGTATCCGGTGATATTCGTTTTAATTGGTTACCCGCCAAGTTTAGTGAAACTAAATTTCTTAATGGCAATTCGATGATGTCCGTCAATCGATTATACGATATATCAAGATTTTGCAAAGTGTCTTCCAGACCAGCAAACATATTTTGCGAAATAATAGACAGCATGTTGCCAGAGAGCTCAATGTTGATGAGATTTTCAAAGTTATAGAACAATCTAGGTGGTATTTCGCGAACTAGATTGCGTGTTAGACCCAAGGTCATAAGATTTGTTGACGTGGCACGAATTAGTTCACTAGATAGTGCGGCGATGCGATTGAATTGCACGTGTAAATGCGCCAGAGATGGTAATTGTGTGAGGGCCGAAGCTGGCACTAATAGAATGTTGTTGTCTTGCAAAGATAACCATTTCAGTTTTGTCAAACCCTCGAAAGACGATTCTTCGATCTGTAATAAAAAATACATAAAGTGTAATATAGATTTATATAAGGATAACATATAAATAAATATGTGCGCAAAATTATTATTTTTTTATTCAAAATAAATATAAACATTAATTAATTTACAATTATTACAAATATAAATTTATATTTATATTTGTAATAATTAATATAAAATTATATGATATTCAATGTAATAATATATTTTATCTTTCAAAAGAAATTATAATATATTAGTATTGATATTTCATTATTCTTATCTTTATAGGAGACCGGGAAAAACTCGACACCGGGGCAAACTTGACACTAGGCTCTTTGCCAATTTAAATCTATCGTAGAAACTTGCCTTTCTTACTATAAATGCGTTTTTATGTTTCAGTAATATCAACTTAGTGGAATTTGGTGACATTCTGAGTTATGGTGTAATTTTTAGCGCGACATAAGCGTTTTTAATAGTAAAAAGTAATTTTTCTGATCTCTCGATTAGTTTTCTTTTTTTTCATCAAGCTTTACTCTTGCGAACCTATATGTAAGTGATTTTGATGGGAAATTTGATGCTCTGTATGAATCTGATAATAGTTTTTGCATATTTTTACAATTTTCATGTTTTTGGAGTGACAAAAGTGAAAAACAACATCCGGGGCAAAGTTGACACCACGTTACTTCATCGGCTCCCAATAACAAATGATGCTTGTCATGCAGCTGTATGGCTCATGACTAATGTGTACGCTGTACGCACGTCCGATTGCGAGTTTACCTGCATTAATTGTTTTTCAGACATGAGTTTAGATGAAGATAATTGCAAGTTCAACAATTTTTGTTCTCATTATTTCCAATAACTGTTTTACTTTATTCCGAACTTTTGTACTTTCTAAATATATAATAAACAATGTATTTTTATTTTCAGACAATAAAAAATAAATTCCAGATCAAATTGTGTCGATCAGGCAAAGTGTCAAGTTTGCTCCGGCATTTTTCAATTTGAAAATTTGTCTTCGCGTCACTTTCCCTTTCCTGGGGGCAAAACAAAGCGTCGTACAGCAAAACTTCTGAAGCAATTTTCTACCTGAAAGAACACTCTTTAAATGTGTATTATTGAATTTGCTTGAAAATTATAATTAATTGTTGAAAATTGATTGCCTTTGAAAAAATCATGTAGAGTTTGTCCCGGTCCCCCCTACATCTAAGAAAATAATATGTTTTAAAATAAATTTTACTAAAATATGCTCAAAAACACAAAACACTGCTCAAAAAAATTAGGGGCCCACTTTTTCTCGGTAAATTTTTGCCCATTTTTAAACTGTAATTACTCAGCGACTAATTAACGTAAAAAATTTTTTAAAAGGATTTTATAGGGTAAACTTTACTATAAGGTGCTTTTGTTCAATTTTCACTTAGTTTAATACGTAAAAGCGTGTTCAGCTTTGAATAAGGACGTATTTGAGATATCCAAAATCTTGAAATTTGCAGTTTTCCACTACCTAACAAGAAAATTGGCGAACATAATTATTAACCATCTCAAAGTGCAGACTTTGCCCTTTTAAATGAAAAAAAAACTTTGTCCTACGCCGATTATTTAGCGAGATGTCGCAATTTAACGTAACTCCTGTTTTTTTATGATTTCAACATCTGTCGCCGGTATTTACGTAACCCGAAGTGCACCATGGGGAGGTTGTTTGGTCGAATTTTGCACATCACGTATGTATGCGTACATGTGTATGTGTGTACATGTAGAGGTTTTTTTTTAGTAAAAAAAGTGTTGCCATCTCTTTGTCGTATCACTTCGTGCAATCTTGATCTCATATTGATGCATTTTTTTTACATCAGATTGAAAAGGCACTGCGTCAAATTTGGAAAAAAAATTTTCAATCTGATATAAAAAAAATGCATCAATATGAGATCAAAATTACGCAGAGTAATATGGCGAGGAGGTGACAACACTTCTTACTAAAAAAAACCTCTACATGTACACACATAACATATGTACACACCATACATATACACACACACATACACATACACATACACATACACATACACATACTCATACACATACACATACACATACACATACACATACACATACACATACACATACACATACACATACACATACACATACGCATACATAAATGATGTGCACAATCTGACTAAACAACCTCCCCATGATATACATCGGGTTATGCAAATGCTGGCGGTATGCTGAAATTATTAAAAAACAGTGTTTACTTTAAATTGCGATATCTCGTTAAACAATCGTAGAACAAAGTTTTTTTTATTTAAAAGGGCAAAGTCCCTACTTTGAGATAGTATTAATGATTATGTTCGCCAATTTTTTTGTTAGGCAGTGGAAGACTGCAAATTTAAAGATTTTGGATATCTTAAATACGTCTTTATTCAAAGCTAAATACGCTTTTAAGTATTAATTAGATAGGATACTTTATTACCCCAAAAAGGTCTAAAAGGGCGTTTTGTAGGGACGTACCCAACCCTGTATAAACTTACAATCTTACATCCTCTACCAACAACATTGGCGTTTTGAAGGGACGTACCCAACCCTGTACATGACACTTGTGCTTCCTGTCCCGACCTAGCCATAGCGGCCTCATACATTCATGTTCCCTCCCTCCCTTTCACGTACCTTATCCTCTTCCTCTCCCTCGCTGCACCCTTCCCTTTCCTTCCTCCCTTATCTCGTCCTCCTTTCTTACGACGGCGCTGTCAACGGAAGTCCAATACAATCTCTCGCGTTTCCTGTCCCGACCTGACCATGCGGCCTCATACATTCTTACTCTTTCCCTTCCTTGCCCCTTATCTTTTCCGTCTCTCTTCCTATACCCTTCCCTTCCCCTCATTCCTATTCTACTCTTTCTCCCATTTCTTTCTCTCCTCGTTCCATCTCCACTTTTCGTCTTCCTCTATCCATATTTTCCTATTCGTCACCCTAACTTTTCTTCCTTTCGCCTTCTCCTCTTTTGCCTTTTCTACAATCTTTGTCCTTTCCGCTTCTGATCTATTGACCTCCTCCCGCTCCTGCGTCTTTCCGTTGCTCTTCCTATCTCCTTTCTCCGTTCTTCAATCCTGCCTCGTCCGCTTTTCCGCCACTCTTTACCTTTCTCCTTCTCTTTATTCTCTCCCTGTCTTCATTCACTTCTACTCTCCCTTTCTTCTGCTCTTTTCCTTGTTTGCCTTGCAATCTCTTTTCCGCTTTTCAGTTTCTCCGTCTCTCCACTGTACTCTACGCCTTACGTCTTACTACCACGGTCCACATGCTATCGCCGAGCGTTCATCTTCTTCAGTCGACCCACCATCCTCGATCTACCGATTTCTATTGCTTTTCTCTCATTCGCTGTTGTGCTATACTGCTTATACTCATTGTGCACCCGCTTTAACTTCCATCCGCTCACCTCTCGCGCCATCTCCTGGATTGTCGGCATCTCCTCTCTCTCTCTCCTCCTTACCGACCCGCTTTGCACGTTGTACTCCTGCGCGCCACGTCCCGCTGTTCCGCAGTGGTACCAACATGCTTTTTCGGAGCAGTCGACCGCCCGCGCCGGGCCAGGCCCGTACCGCCACCGTGCCTTCTTCTCGCCGACCACCAACCAGCGGGCCCCACGTTGCCACTTTAGCCTGCCATACCTTGCTCCAGGCCACTGCTCCCCCTCTCATCTCTTCCGTCCCTGCCCCTTCTTCTTCCTTTTTCTCATCCTAACCTCCAAGAACCCCTTAATTTCCACCTCGCACCACTCTTCACTCGTGCCACCCTTGACTTCACCTTTATTTCCTCGGCCTCTTCTACGCCTTCTCCAACGCCAACTCCACCTCACTTCTTGGTTTTCCCTGCCTTCCTCGCCTTTCCAAGCCTTTATATCTCGATCTACTCCTTCATTCCGGGCCAACCGTTTGCTCCTTCTCCTCAAGCCTATCTCCCCGCTTTTAAGTATTAAACTGAGTGAAAATTAAACAAAAGCACGTTATAGTAGAGAGTTTTTCCCGCAAAACCCTTTTCAATTTTTTTTTAATTATTAATAATTAATAAATTTTTTTAATTATTCGCTGAGTAATTATAGGTTAAAAATGGGAAAAAATTTACCGTTGTGAGAAAAAGTAATTCTCTAATTTTTTTTAGTGTAAATGTACATCTAAAAAGATATAAACCAATTTCTCATAAGTAAATAGAGATATGTCTTCTTTGGTCAAGTTAGATCTTTGTAGCTTAATGATATTTTTGTGTGACTTATATACTTTTTTCCACTCAAACAGATGGAAAAATATATAATCGCCGATTATTTGTTGGTCTTGAAACACAGTTTTTCATTGGAACAGTAAATTCAACATACTTAAATCAATAATCGATTTTACTTCTTGATGCTAACATCTTTAAATTACTATAAAGAATTTATTGCACAAAATATTATCCCAGCCAGGATTTGAACCTCGACCTCTCTTCAATCCGTGCCGGACACTTTACCAATTCGACCACTGAAGCATATAGTAATATTTATCGTTTTAATCATGGAAGTATTAATGTAAAACACATGGAGCTGTATAAAAAGGGGTTACGGAAAAACAAATAAAATTATGAGATTGATTTCTAATCTTAATCATTTTTGTGACAAAGTGTTAGAAACAACAATGTACCGTGCGCAGCGCATTGAAGCTCAGATCTAGTCTTATAAGAGCGATAAGATTAGAGAATGTATTAATTCCAAGTCGACCTATGTTGTTACGGCTCAAATCTAATACTTGCAACTCGTTCAAGCTTAACAGATGTATCCGTTCTATTTCCTGCAAAAAAAAAAAATTGTAATTTACTCTTAATAAAAATTGTAATTTACTCCTAATTTACTTCTAATAAAAATCGCTTTCTGAAATTTAATTTATAATATAATGGATTTAAAATAATGTATGATTGAAAATAATGAATTAATTAAATGTTTATCTTTTCTATTGCAATGTATAAAATATATATAAGAACAAGCCTCGATAGTTAATCATTCGGCTTCAGGTACGTAATAGTTGAATGTTTTCATGTATTGACGATAAAAGAGATGTTACGTACGAGAATACTTACGGTAATAAGATTGTTAGAGATATTTAAGAATTTTAAGTCCGTTAAGTGTCTTAATGCATCAGTGGGAAACTCCTGGAAGAAATTAGCCGAGAGATCTAATTGCAGCAAGCTGAAAATTCCTGAAACCGTTAAAATAACCTTTGTTTTTATCACAAACTTGCAGTTTTATCTCTATTTCGTTATCACGACGTGATGCGAAATATACAGAATTGAGATAAGAATCCTGCGAGTACACACGCGCGCGCGCGCACGCACACGCACACAAGAATTCTTAAGGTAGTCCTTTCGCCGACACAACTAGTCAAGTAACAGTCCGTCATGAAGTAATTGAAAACAAACATATTGACGAACATTACACAACATCCCAATAATTATAATAATATAACATGATTTTACACGCACGATTTAATCGTATTTAATTATTTATTAATTTAAAAAATATTACAATAATAGTGCGGTTGGACTCGATTTAGGTTAGGTCAGGCATGACGGTACGGGCTGCGTTCGGGAAGCGTCACTCGGGTGTGCTCCCTTCTCCTTCTAACTTGCTGAGATAAGGAAAGGGGAGTGTGCTCGTGTGCGCTCGGGTGACGTTTTCGAACGCAGCCACGAGTAAAGTAATATACAATTGGATCCACTACGTATTTAACCTCATATATCAGAGCAAAACATTCGGCAATAAGCCCTTATTTTCAAGGTACGTACGAAATCCGGAAACTTCAGGGAATATTTTAAGCGACATTAATAATGTATTCGGTAAAACTGCAGATTAAGAGCGACCTCACCGATTTTAATGACCTTGATGTACGTTGTCAAGGTCATGACCCCGAGTGACCTTCAGAAGGTTTTAGCCGTCGCTCGCTATTCGTTAAAAAGTTATTGTACGCCTTTTTCTTAAAAATGTTCCGTTATCAATTTGGAAAAATAACTTTTTGTTAGTGCAAGAAAAATGGAATTAGAAATTAAATTAAATGTTAAACTGTTAAACTTATACTTTGTAAACTCCATGTAAGAATATAAACAAAATACTTTTACATATTGGTGTAGTACATTAATTGCTTTATTTATGTTATTAATTCTTTGCACTTGTATGGTTTCTCATTAATTAATAAAAAAAATGGAAAGCAATAGAACATTTAATTTTTGTAAGGTTTTCTCATCAATCAGGTGTCCCCTTTGCCGTCTAATCTATCGACATGGCTTTATATAGCAATCGAGTCGTGTGTTTTTCCGTGAAAAACAACTTATTTGCTTAGGCTAATGTTTGTCGCTGAGCCACTGAGCCCTTCTTTCGTGTACTCATCCTTTTCATCTTCGTTTCGATTCGCGGCAGCGAATCCGCGAATCCGTGAAACGGCTTAATTTCTAAATAATTTCTAGACTCGCGTCTTGTCGTCATCCAGACATCTGCATGACTGCATCTTATCCTTAAGCGTAGAGAGTTTTTTCTAAATTTCACGGTATTTTCAATCTTTCTAATTTCTATCTTTCAAATTTTTGTTTGTATTCTTTTAGTTCTTTTTTCATTTTTCTTCGTCTTTTTTATTAATATTTCTTATATTTGTATTTTTCTATTAACTACTAATTGTAAGAACTAAGAAAAATTCTTTCTTTGTTCTTTTTCTCTCCTTTTTTTAAATCTTAACTTCTATCTTTCTTTCTGTTGCGTTTTTTCTATTACATTCTATTTTTCTTTCAACATGGAAACATGTGATAAATCGAAAACAATGTCTAAGCGAAAATTTGTAGAAGCTTGGCTTAGCGATGATCGCTACAAGCCTTGGATACGTCATTTGATAATACTTTTTATAATTGCATAATATGTAATAAAAATTTTTCGTGCAGCTCATCGCATGTTTCCAGACACGCGGATTCTGCGTGTCACAAAAATAATATTAAAGAAAATATTATAGATGATGATAATAACAGTATAAATGTCACAGAACAACAAGGACATCATAAACAAAAATTTAGAAAACAATATTATGGTTGTATAAAAAGGAATTCAGACCATGGTTACGCGAAATGCCAAATGATGTCAACTCAACATTTTGTTCAATTTGTGATTATCAATTGCTTGCGGACTATCACATATATATATATTGGCACGCAGAATTCAAAATGCATAGAGATAAGTTGGAAAAAAGTAATATAGAAGCGAACAAATCAAACGAAGATTTGAATACTGATGAATCATATTTGTCGTTTGACGAGCGAATAAAATCTTTAGATATTAGATTTACTGCCTTTATTGCAGAAAAAAATATCCCTCATCAAACTGTAACAGAGATTCTCAGTTTTTTTTAACAGGTATAAGACGATCCGATTCTATTGAAAAGCATGATTATGGGTCGAACGAAATGTAAAAATATTATATCAAATGTTTTATGCCCGATAGAGACAGATCATGTCGTTAAGGTGGTCCTTTCGTGAGAACAAGTATTAGATAGGTACCTAAATTTGATATATGTTAAATATACAGTAATAAGGGGCATGTGTACGAAAAATCAAGTAAGGTTACCAACACTTTACAAGAAATAAGTCATTTTAAATGTGCGTTCGCGGAGCGTGCCATTGTCATTCTATCCTTGTTTACATCTAATGAACGAGAAAGATAGAATGATGCAAATCGCCACGTCCGAGGTTTTCAACGAATAATACATGTACTTAGCGATCAGATGAATACATTATTCATGTCTTAAAATATTCCCTGAAGTTTCCGGATTTCGTACATACCTTGAAAATAAGGGCTTACCGAATGTTTTGCTCTAATATATGAGGTTAAATAAGTAGTGGTCCAATCGCATATTGCTTTACTCGTACTGTCATGCCTGACCTAACCTAAATCGAATCCAACCGCACTACTATTGTGATATTTTTTTAATTAGTAAATAATTAAATACGATTAAATCGTGCGTGTAAAATCATATTATATTATTATAATTATTGGGATGTTGTCTAATATTTGTCAATATGTTTGTTTTCAATTACCTCATGACGGACTGTTACTTGACTAGCTGGGTCCGCGAAAGGACCACCTTAAGAACATTCAGCATACAAAATTCCATTTTTATAGATGAAACATTAGATATAACTAACAACAAATGGATGACGTTTTTTGTACGATACGTTGATTCCGAGACTTTAGACACTCGGTCGCAATTAGTAAAATTAATTGATATTGATGCAAGAGATTTTAGTGCAGAAAAATTATTTAAATGCATTTAAATACAAAATGTATAAACTGCAGATTCTGTTTTCAAATATTCTTGCCCTGTCATGCGATAGTGCGTCTGTGATGACAAGAAAACATTTATCTTTCAAAAAGAAACTGCAAGAAAAGTGCAAAAATTTATTAACATTTTCATGTCCATGCCATTCCGCTGCATTAACTGCGCACGCTGCATGCGCTAAAATACCCCCATTCTGTGAAGAATTTCTCAGAAAAATTTCAAATTATATTAACAGCAGTCCGAAACGTTCAGCTATTTTCGATAAATTTTGCGAATGTTAAAAAAAAAAAAAAAAAAAAAAACCCCAAAATTTTGAAGTTATGCGGTGGCTTTCACATTACTTATGTATCGACAGACTACTCGAGTCGTGGGATACTATAAAATATTTTCTTAACGAAATGGTTATTAGCGATAAAACAAATAAGTCTGAAGTATTAAAAGACTTACTTACACGCTAAGTATAATATTTTCTGAGCAGGAAAAAATCGTAAACCTATTAACAACATTAATTTAGGATCAGAGTGCAAGAAATATTTTGATAAATTAATCGCAGAAGGACAGAGATGCAGATGTAATTCCAAGTATTCGACAAAACTGTTTGCAATTTTATGTCGTTGCTGCCGAAGAAATTAGAAAAAGATTCCCAATGCATGATGTATTTTTATATAAATTACAAGTTTTTAAAAATTCTGGTAGCTTTATTTGACAGCAACAGAGAAATATCTTTCAATTATATTTCTTTTATCACAAAAACCCTGAGTGGTTTTGATGAAAATAGTTTAAAGGAAGAATGGCTTGCATTATATCATGATTTTACTATTGAGGAAAAAAAGAATATTTCCACATTAAATTTTGATAACATGTGGAAAAAGATTCTAAAACATCAGTCTAATAATATTGCAAAGTATCCTAATTTAACATTACTTTTGAATGCGATATGTACGTATAGTCCATTAGTAATTATAAACATAACATTTAATTTAATTTTAATTAATTTCTTTATGTACTATCAATAAGTTATTTTTCAAAAATCAATAACGAAACTTAAAAAAAAGACGTACATGTTGGCCAAGAGTGGATTTCTATTATTATTTATTATTTTTACTTCTTTCTGCTCTTCATTTCTTTAACTTAATATCTTTTATGTATAAAATATATTTCCATTTCATTTTTAAGTATGAAAAGGGACATATAAACGGCGAGATACAATATACACGTATAGGCATAATTCTCGCGGCGCGGCTGCTGGGGACGGCGCCCGAATTAGACTTGATAATTTAGAATATTTAATTTAATATTTAATTTTTTTGTATTAATAATTAAAATAAAAAAGATTATTTACATAAATATTTATTACCTAGGTGTGATATATAGTTCACAAAAATCATATGAGAAATATAAATATATTTTTATACATTTGTCTTCGACGAGCGTGAGAGACAGAGTCTTACAGATATATAGATAAATATCTTTTTTATTTTAAAACAATAAAACAATAAAACAGGCAAATAAATATTTTATTAAATTTTTTATTTTAATTATTAATACAGAAAAATTGAATTACATATTCTAAATTATCAGGTCTAAAGACACTAGTAAAAGGTGTAGTAAATTTAAAGTGCGACGAATATCCGATTCTTCAAAAGAATAGTAACAAGCACTTGTAATGAGTTAATGCAAAGAAAAGAAACCCAATTTGTAACGCTGATAAATTCCCTCAAAATCGTAATCTTTCTCTCCCAATTGACAATTTAACTGAATTTATAAAATTTAATGAAAGACTCAAAGATGATGATAAACTAAGAGAAGATATAGTGAGCAAAATAAAAAAATAATATTTATTAATTTGTAATTATTTATGGAAACATTATACATATATATATATACTATACTATACTATATAACATTATACATATACTATAATATAAATATACTTAATTATATTTTCAAATATTGTTTCCAGAATAACAATATTTGAAAATGCTCGAAATACGTATAAAAAAAAGATAAAGTTGTTACACTAACAATAAGTTTTTAATGAATATATTAAAAAAGTTTATTACAGCAGAGATTGCAATGAAAACTGGCTCTTATATATTATATTTGAAGAAAATCATTTATTCAAATGTATTTAAATAAATGTATTATAAATGTATTTATTTTATATCTTTTATGTACAGGATTTTTAATATAATTAAAAGATTTATTTAATTAATAATTTTCACGTTTTAATTGTGACATGATCAAGAGACACGATAATGTCTCGCGCTTAGTACGGAAAGGGACACGCGAAGACGCGAGACGCGAATAAAACGCGCGAGCTGAGTACGATAGGATTTTACGATTCTCGTGGCTGGCG